ACAGGTTCCTGTCTTTATTTCGATGTACAGATATGTGGATTATAAATTCGTGGCAGTAGAAAAGAATACAAAGATGACAAAATGAATTTATGCCCTTCTTGTTAAAGGCCTTGAAATATTTACAATACTGCAGCAGATATCGTAAGTAGTGTTGTGCAATATATGTATATATAGATAAACGTTATCAAGCGTTGTACAATAATCTCTCTAATCCAATTTTCTTGCTATATAAATCGGTATAGTTATCGCTTAATCGATTTTTTCAAACAATTGTTTCGTATGATATATGATCAAATTGTATAAAGTAGCACTTGAACTAGGATTTAATTAACATCTATACTCTTGATACTAGGTATCATTTTATTTAGATAATAATCACGATTGTCTTGCACAACACTAACTGCCGGTGTATATAGATAGATTACGAGTTCTTAATTACGTATATAGATAGGAAAGAGCTTTTTAACTCTCTTATCCGAGAATCGCATGAAAAAAATAATTCGCTCGGAACCTGTTTCTACATAATTATCTTTGTTTTCAGCCTTAAAATGATATGTGATCGACATCTTCGCATACTCATTTATTTATACCCTAGATACGAGCTCTTAAACATTGCAAGGCACCACATACTTTCCGATATAATGAAAATTATATATAATTTAATTGCTTTAAATTAAAATTGAAATTAAAATCACCTCAAGTTTTTAATTATTTTTTTCTATACTTTGAATCAAAATCAGTTTATATTATTAATTATATCAAAATATGTTTCTCAGTCAATATTATTATATTATACAACTTTGTTACTGCCTTAAGAATTAATTTCAAGATAAATCGCACACACAATTAAAAAGGAAAAAATTGCAACAGAATATAACAGGAAAAATATTGGGTAAAAATGACAAAATACGAAGGTGAATCGTTGAAAAATTATATTTTTCCATTCATTGGCACGAATCGTAAACACAACATAATTTATAAATTAACGTACACAATCATCTTCAATAATTTACACAAATCTCGTGTTTCATCGTTACAAAAGATAATATACTTTCGCTTGGGAGTCGGAGATCAAAATCTCTTTCCGAGACAAGCTTTTTTTGTGCCATATAAGAAGAAGGAAGGGGGATGAGCTTGAGATTCAAAATATTTTTTTTGTTTTGATAAAGTCGAGAACATGACAAATATATTATTATAAACGCATTATTTTTATGATACCACGTAAGTTGAATTCTCTCTCCCTCCCTCTTCCGGTTCGGTGACGGAATGACGGTAAGAGATAAATGAGTAAAGTGGGAAACTAGAACAGGGCTGAGAAAAAAGAAGGAAGAAAGTGAGGAAGAATAGATGAGGAGAGAATAGAAAGCTTGACTCATGAATAACAAAATAAATAATAGAAGCATTAAACATGATTAATCACTTAACAACGTAACTAGAGATAATAATAATAATAATAATATTAATAATAAATTAATATTAATAATATTAATAATAGAAATAAAATAATAATCATACGAATGGCTACACTTGTTAATAATTACAAGAACAAGTCTGGCACGGCGATCGCTTAACTGCCCGAAGACACGTCGAACGTGTTTGTTCCTTTTCCTCACGTCTTTCTTTACTTTAAATTACTACAGATTTATTACGCAAGAGATTCTGTCAGTTTAAGGCTGAATCAGTGCGAGGGATAATGTCAAGTCAGAGATCTTAATTTTTTTCTCGACAATCGTCGAAAAAATTAAAAAAAATAAATAAATAGAACGAAATCGAAGATTGAATGGCACTTGAATTAATCGCATGACTTGAATGTGCGAATAATTATTTTCCGCTTATATAGGATCCTGAAGTGTATTGAGCAATTCACTTTTCAATGCGATATACAAATGAGTAAATCCATTCATTAACCTATGAGTATTAATTATGCGAGCATTGGAATTAATTTTATTATTCCGCTACACGAAACAAACTTTTAAAAAATTAGAAACGACACACTTGTGAAATTGTCGAGATTAATAGAGAATAAATCGACAACGAAACAGTACGCTGCAAAAGTTTTTTAATTTTTAATTTACGAAACAAACATAATAATTTATCAATTTGTAATGATTTGCAATCTAGAATAATTATTTAAATAATAATAATTATAATTAAATTATTATCATCATATCACGACAATGATTATCGTCATCACATGCTATATATTAATCACGCACTTACTTATTGATTAACTTCTAACTCATTGTTCACGAAAGCACCAACAATTCAAAAAAGTTGAAATTTAAAGAAAGAGCTAAATAATTTAACTTTTTTTAGTACGGTCGGTTTTTTACCACGCGTTCATATTTAGAGTATTATCAATTAAAGGATGAAACAATTATTTATCATCCGATTCGACAATTCTCCCTCGCACGTTGCATCGTATTATATAAACACCGCTTTCCAAGCAATCGTTCGATCGAGGGGGCAAGTAAAATGGCAAGCAGAGAGCGACAATACCTTCTCCTTAATAGCTACTTACTCGTCCCATTCCTCTGGAAACGCTTAATCGGTATTAGGTAGATAATTAGAAAAAACCTCGATATACAAAAATACAGATATACGTACTATAGGCGCGCAATTGTGCGTGCCACGTATCAGTGCGCGCTGATACTTTTTTTTTCTATTTACCGGCGAAGAGGAGGAATAAGAGACACATCGGGGGAGGGGGGGGGAAGTACACGGAGTTATATATATATATATATAAATATAAATATATATATATAGGATAAGAGTGTTTTAAGGACGAAACGCGCTCGCATCCGGTCCCTCGAAACTGAATAAGCTCGAGAATTAATGTCGGCGTTACTATGTTGCTCAGCGAGTCACCATATTGACTATTTGTCGTAAAACTATGTGGAATTGACGTTTCCGAGACGAGAGACGAACTTGTTCGTCGAAGCCGAACAAACGGATAATACTACGTGACAGCGATATGTCATACATGCGATTCAGAGAGACGGAATATTTTCTTCCTCTTTTATCATTTGTACTAACTAATATATAAATATTATAATTTCAACAGTGTTATCAAATCGTTAATCGTGCATATATAATCGAATCACTCTCTTTTATTTTCCTCTCTAATTTTGTATCTCTCTTCGACGAGGAGGAAGGAAGAGGAGTGACATTTTCCGTGCTCCGTGATTCCATTAAAATGACATTAGCGTATTCGATTTGCCGTTCACTCGACCCGGCGACCTTATTCGCGCGGAGATCATACAGTTCGAATATACTTTAAGATTGTCTTCGTCGATTCACAGCGCAAAAGATACCTGTCCGATTCGCCCTTCTTCGCTTAAGCACCACAACCAGTTTCGATTAATCGCGCCGCAACGTATACACACTTGATTTTTATAGCAAAATGCTAAAAAACTTGAGGAAACCGTATATCGATTCCGACAGCATTTATTTCTCACTTAAAAAAAAAAAAAAAAGAAAAACTGATCGACGTCAACCAAATCGTCTTTGATGACGTTCGACATAATTTTCTTAGCTTAAAGCCTCGCATTTATATAATTGAGTTAGACACGTATAAAAAATATTGTATCTGCCTACTAGTGTGCGGCGGCGCGAATAATTACAATAGTTACAATAATAATGAACGCAATAATAATGTCAATAGTATTTACTCACTAATTAACGTTACTTCTATACGCTTTATTATGCTTTAACGTCGAGCTTTCTCCTTTCTTCCTTTCTCTGCAGGTACAGATATGTTTTTTCTTTTTTACACTATCGCCCTTGCAATATCCTTGCAATCGATGGACTCTGAAATGTCCGCTGCAAAAGGACGACCGCGATTACATATTATAACTATTAATATATCACCGTTTTTCGCAAGTTTTTTCGGCTTTTCTTATAGGAAGTCATCTTAACAATTTTTCAAGTAACAACAACTTGAGCAGGTTTCGGGCGAATCGACGAGGCAACCAATGGCGACTCGCTATTTATAGATATATAGACACGTAGAGAAAAATATTGGTGATAAATAAACTCTCGACGAGAGAGAAATGATCTCCTTTCATCGGTGTAGACTTGGTCCTGAATGATCGATGTTTCGTTTTGCATTACTCTGGCGAGAGATAATCCTCACCATCTCGTCACCAATAATTTTTCTCCGCAAAAATCGCGACGGAGCTTGACGGATATGTTCTAAACAATGTAATTCTAGAACTGCTCATTGGAGTCTAATGAATCCTCTCCATATTTCTTGCCATATCTTCAATATATAAGAGATTAATATAATACGATTTATTTAAGCCATATTATGCACAACAATTTGCATTATATATTAATATATCTTTCAGCTAAAAATACAAAGAATAGGAAAGATAGAAATATATAACGTTATGTGTCAAAATCGTGGATTTCATTAGATCTCGATGTGCAGTTTAACGTGAGGATTTGACATGCGTATAATCCGAAATGTCGGTTTACAAAAAATTTGGCACGTGTATTCGCGTCGCCGACGGGCTACGTTCAAGTTTTTCCTAACAGTCAACGGTAAAGATTGGGAAAGTCTTTGAAGAAATAATGCGCGACTTGATCGATTATATACATACGATATTATTGTGGACACGTGGTCGTTTTACGAATATAAGAAAAAAAAAAAAAGAAAAACACGATTCGACTCTGACGCCAAGCACTTTTAAGCACCGCTTTCATGTATCTCCGTGCATCGCGCTGCATTTGCGCGGACGAGCAGGAATGCTTTACGTTCAGCTTCTGTTACTTAACTTTACGCATCGAGAACGAGAGAGCAGAAGATGTATAAAGAGAGTATCGGTGATATAATAAATTTTTCACGATGACGGTCGGAAAACATTCGAGAACAATCGGTGATTAATCGAGTTTTAAGAAAATTTTAATAGAAATAATAGAAACATTTAATTGCAGATTATTTATTAAGATAAATTTGGAAAGACAAGTAAATTTGTTAATAAATTATTACAGTAATTTATATGAAATTTTTTAACAGATTGTTCCATAATTAATAAAGTTTTTACAAAACTGCATGTTGTGTTGTCGGATTGTTTTCCGGCTGAAGTCGTATAATTTATGTTTACGTCACCACGTAAACGAGTGCCGCGACGAAAGGTTTGCGAATTTCGGAGGTTAAAAATATATGATTTGCGAATGCGGAATCAGACGGAAGATCGAAGACGTACAATAATACTGTTTGGCATTGTTCGCGTGTGAATATGGCGCGATCACATGAAAGGATAATTGATCTCTATAGGCAATTCGCGGAGAATCATGAAACAAAAAGAATCATTTATTTTTTGACAAATAATATAAATATAATATACTCACGGGAGCGAAGTTTCTATCCATCACTCAGTTCTTCATGATGCTATTTCGACATGTGAATTTAACTCTTTCGCTGAGAACGACGTGTAAAGGGAGATTTTAAAGCTTGAAAAGATCGCAGAACTTTGAAATAAACTGTTTTTTTTGACAGCAAAACTATTTCTGTGAACTGTCAATGTTACGCGCACACTATCACCATATAATCATATTTTTCCATATTAATATATAAATAATATATAATAAGTTCTTCGAGTTTCTCAATATGCAAATTTCAACGCGACGCAGCGAAAGAGTGAAATTGACGCGTCTTAGCTGCAATTCCTCCCAAATATAGTGGCCGTTCCATAATCTTAACCACAATCACAGACTCTAAATAGCGTCTGTCGGGGCCCTGAATTTTCGATAGCAAAAGAATCCTCCGATCTCATTAAGCATCAATCTTTCTAACGTCCGGCTGATGTCGCGGTGTTGACCGAGCGGCGACCTCGTTCCCTCGAAGCGTTTCTCCGGAGCCCCGATCGAACCGCGAAAGTCGTCCCTGGGGATCCTCGATCGATCCTGCCGCGATGTCCTCGCTGGCATCTGCTGCTGCCAGAGTGCAACCAGGGTCATCCGATTGGCCGTCGTCATTCGGCCTTGATCACCGCCGACGGTGCCGCCGTCACGTTCTGGGTAAAAGGAGGGCATTCTTCGCTACCGAGCAGACCCGGTTCTGTCTTCGGGGTCGGGCCGTCCGCGCATCGATTGTGGGTCTTGAGATGCCTGGTGATCATGTCCCTGCGACAGGCCGCGTACGCGCACTGCGGACACTTGTACGGTTTCTCGCCGGTGTGGGTTCGCTGGTGGGTGCTGAGGTGATCGGATCTGCTGAACACTTGCCGACAGACCCGGCACGTGTACGGCTTGACGCCGGTGTGCAATCTCATGTGCCTGGTTAGCATGTCGGATCTAGCGAAGCTCCTCTGACACACGTCACATAGATACGCCTTCGCCGAGGCATCGTGGAGGCCCTGCCGACGATGCCTAGACGCCATGTGCTTCGCCAGACGATCGTGCAGACTGAACATTTGCCCGCACTCGGGACACACGTAAGCCACGTCCGCGCCAGGTGCCATTTCCTCGACGACCGGTAAAACCTCCAGGTTGTAGCGTACCGCGACGCTCTCTTTCGTGGTAGGTGACGCAACATCGCCCCTCACTACGGGAACGTTTACGGCACCGCGTGTCACGACGCCGGACGGCAAAAGCTGAAGAGACGGCGACCTAGCGGAAGCCGCCGCAGCCGCTGCCGCCGCAGCAGCTGCGGCGGATTGTAACGTAAGGTTCTTCATGGAGAGATCCAACGGCGATTCCTGGGGACTCGTGCCATCGCTCTCGAGGGAACCGCTTCGCGGTGGATGGCTGACGACGGAAGACGACGACGAGCGAGTAGTCGAGGCGGGCACCTTGTGTCGTCCCATCTAGGCACCATATCCGAGTCAGAATGACTTCTCCCGCGGAAGGTGTCGCCAGGCGACGACAACGACGGCGTCAGGTACTTGTTGTGCATATACTGCTCGAATATGCTGTACGTGCCGCATATACTGCTGTAAGACGCGAAGCTGGTTCGCGACAGCGGCGTCTGGAGAGACGTCGCCGTCGGCAGCATCATCGCCGCCGCCGCCGAGGCGGCCAGGGACTGCGAACACTGGCTGCACATGCAGTCGGGATACTTGGCGTCGACAGCCGGTGATTGTTCTGGTAGGGCGAATAACGGTGCCGGTGATGATGATGATGATGATGGTACGAGTACGAGCGATACGGTCGATGGTGGGGATGATGATGATGATGATGCTGTTGACCGGTTTCGTGGAGTTCCTCCTCGCTCGGCGTCACCGATTCCGTGTCCTTCAACCTCAACGGCAGCTGACCGATTACCGGAGTGGTATCAGCGGCGGATCGCGACGACGATGATCTAGGCGAGCCGAACACGTCTTCTTCCTCGGATACGGACCGCTACCTTCGAATCTCAAGACCTCGCCTTCGGACGGCGAGCTCCGGTGAGCTTGCAACGTGTCCACGACCTGTTCCAGCCGTCTCCGTTTCTTACGGGGGTTCCGATGGTTACGGTTAGCCGTCGCCGCGAGGGTGTTGTTGTTCGTGCAAGATGGTGGGGGCGGCTTGGCCGGACCCGGGGCGCGGCTGCGGCGTCCTCCACGGCGCTCTCGGCCATCGTCATCGAGGATGCGCGGCACCCGCCGCCTGGGCCCCTTATGCCACCTACGACACCCTCGGCTACCACCGTACTACCTCCCACCTCGTCCTGAAACAATCCGAATGGGATGGTGCGATTACTCGGGGATGTCTCGTGTTAAGTATTGACGTTTTAAATTCTTCAGCAATTTTTTTCAATCCTTCCTTGTTAATAATAATTAATAAATTAAATATACGGCGTTGATGATACTGAAACAACACACGTGCGAGCATTTTTGTTTATACATATGTATAAATTGTTGTGAAAAATTAGATTGCCCGTTCATATAGATATACATATGTATTATTTTGCTTGCTTAGAGAGAAAGGAAAGAGGGATCTCTCATTTTTAATTCACGTTATAAATTATTCGAAATATGTGTACGACCTTGAGTTTCGTTAAATATACATGATTTCGATTACACGCAAATTAATTTTCATAAAAAATAGCTTCCGATTATGTGTTGTTATTGGAGATATTTAATCGCCACTAGACTAAATGGTATTTTTGTTGACGTAATGTTGTTGTTAACAACATCGGATTGCTAATGATAGTAATTCACATACGCGGTGACATTTATATGAACAAAGTTGAGACTCGTAGGTGCTAATAAACCATGACTTCGTAATTATACATGATATTATTTACGACAGAATCGACTGTAGCTGCGATATAGATAATGATAATATACTGTCAAAATAAAATTCGATAAAATCACCACGTATAAGAGAAAAATTTCATTACTGAATAAGGTATTCCTTAATATAATAATCCAAGTTTCTAAAACATGCATACGCTTTACTCGGCTGAAAGAAAAAAATAATAATGAGGTTAATATAAAAAGCAGAACTGTGTGTCGTAAAATGAAACAGAAGGAGAGAATAGTATTTATTATGCATTTTACAACGGAAACTTTTTTCACGGCAAGTTATATCAAGTTAGTTTATGTATCTATGCTGTTTTTATATCGCGGAATATTGTCCGCGTTAAAACTGAACAGGTTAACGAGGTAAACGTCAAAGCATGAAAAACGCCGAGACTTTATCGCGAACTCTCCGGCTGCCTGTCAAAACTTTGAAAGCATATGTTGACATCGTTATTGCGAAAGCGACGGACGATCGTTTGCATAGAATCTCTCGCCGTCTTACCGATCCCAAAAGAACAGGTATCGACGTGCGAAGGCAACAGGTGTAGAGGCTCGTCTGAGAACGTATGTCGGTCGTGGTGGTGACGTGGAGGTGCCTCCCAGGGGACGGGATTAAAAAAAGTGCCGAGCCAAGTCGTAACGAGACGCGATTAGAATATTCGTCGCGTTTTTGCGCAGCGATATCGGTCGGCCATTTGTCATTAGCGGCACGGCCGCCATTAAAAGAGCTAATAAGAAGAGACGATCGCCTCCCGGCGAGATCGCGCTCGATTATACAATATCGCGGCTACGCGCAGATATTTCGGCCGTTCCGCGCCGAATAACGGAACATTCTTTTTTTCCCAACGTTCTCTCGATAAAAGAATCTCTCGCCCACTTTAACGTAAACAGGCGGCACTTATCGACGGCGAGACCGTTGCCGAGAAAATTATTAATAACAGACGGAAGGGATCTATCACGGGTTAATTCATTTGAGTGTCCATTAATCGCCACTGCTACTTCGGAGAGTGGCAGGAGAAAAAAAAGTTTGACAATTTTTGCGATCGACACGTAAATAATGACACGCTTTCTTTTATATGGGTAGAATTCTCGGCGGAGTCTCAATTCCCACGAAATGATGGACGGGAAAAAGCGATGCGTGTCACGTGGATTTTTTTTTCGGTATTTATTTTAATCCATCGGTGGACCACACTCTGTTCGTCTTGTTCGACGTGACAACGGTACTTTGTCATAAGACTGTGCGCGGTGTAACTTGAGAGATGTATCTGCTGAATATTTGAAATTTAAATCGCCTACGAACACGAACGTATGAATCAACGGACGGACAAGCGATGACTGGCATTTAATTCGGTGCTCGTTTCATTTCTTCTTTTTGACAGTGTGGACGAAATATCATTGCACGTTTCGTTTAAAATTATCACACGAAACCTTATTATCGATTATCTGCAGCTGTTTTATGGCGAAAAGTTAATAGAATTTTTAAGATTAGACATATGGTATAGTGTAATTAATTATCTGAGAAGCCATCTCGCCTTTCTTCTACATCAAAAACAATTATTACATAATACTATAACTTAAGGCTTCGCGTTATCTTGGTTTGCAAAAGCACATATATTAAGAGATGCACGATACATTAGAATGATTATATAAATATATATATGAATTTATATCTCATATATGTTTTTTTTCTTTTTACACGCATCTTCAATGATAACATAAAAAAGTGATAGTACAATTAAATAGCTACAACTTATTTCTTTAGCATGGTGAAGATAATCAGTTTATTTTCCGAACGTGTGTATTAAATAAAATTAAGAAAAGTGAAAACTGGTAAAAGAAGAGAAATAAAATTCCCATCAGGCTCTCGCTCTTGTTCGATGCAGATAGCAGGGCGAATATGAAAAAAAAAAAATGTAATCACGACGCGCCTCCTGAAAACCGGGGCATTTAATGGCTCGCTGCGACGGTATCTCGGCGCCATGCGTGCGTGCATAATCTCTCGATTGCAGGCCTGCCTTCGGTCTCAATAGCAAGTCACGATCGTAGAATAAGATTTCTTACTAGGCTTCCTAGGTAAAACTAAACGTGGGAGGACCGTCCAACGGTTCTCCAGCGGCTCCAGCGCGTTGCATACCGACGCGTATACATGCGTATAGCGCGTAAGTTGCTTCGGGACCGATCTTCGTGGCCGACAGTTCGGTCCCGCTTGCCTACGATGAATACCGAGAAAAGCATTCGTGACGAAATACGCGAATTCCTCTGGCCATAGGTCTCGGTGTCGCGTCGCGTCGAGAAGCGGACTCTGATACAACCGCTTAAATGACGCGGCTTAATTGCGCGATTTATTCCAGTCCACGTGCAAGCACGTCCTTCAACTTTGCACCGTCGGGCCATTCTCGGGATTCTAGAATAAGGACTCGCAACTGTCGCGCCTTTGTCGTAGGAAAAAAAAAATGCTTTATGCGCTCGAAAGTCTTCTCGCGCTGTTTTCTCGAAGAGATAGATTAAAGTATCATCAATCTATTGATTGTTTTTGCTAGCATGATAACGGGGCGTGTTGCAAAAAAAGAGCGCGTAGGTTATTCTTATGTAAAGTGTTTGGTTATAAAGAGAAAGGAGAGAAATATGTGTATAGAGATAGAAAGATCTTTAACAAAAATTATATATCTACAAATGGACACTTGCGGTTTTTAACTATAAAACCGCATTGATAAAAAGGAATGTACGATAGATCTCTTAGAACTGAATATGCATTCTACGAAGCATATATTTCGATAAAAAAAACCGCGATGGATACAGTCTGTTTAGCGGTCTTTTCTTGCCTGGCGCTTCGAGTCTTTCTTCCTGATCGCACAGTGGCTATCCTTTTATTCTTCTTGCGCCGCCGCCGTATGTCCTATCCTTCCCCGCCTTCATTACGGAGAGAAAGGGCCTCGATGATCGGTCGTAAAACGTAAAGGGGACTCGTAAACGGAGTGAAAAGATGTCAGAAACGTAAATGCGCCGAGAACAGGTCCCCGAGAAGAAGGCGGTGTGGGCGTACTTACTCTCTTTCCACACTGACTGCTTTGATTTTCTCCCCTTTCTCTTCGGACAAGACAGATATTCGGATCTTTCAGAGATTCTGCTACGATATATTTTACATTACTTAGTTTATTTATTATTTTTTTTTTTATTTTATTAGTCTAGAAAATCAGAAACAATTTATCTTTCAAATAAATGCTGAAATCTGAAGAGTTTGAGATGGAAAATTCAAGAGTGGAAAAACTTTGCTTCCAAAAAGTTGCATAGATTAGGAAATTTAAATATAAAATTCTATTTAAAATTGTATCAAATACAAAAACATTTTAAGTCATGTAGAACGTGTGTTATAATAATCTTTAGAGTATAATATACAGTAAAAAATTAGAGTTTAGGGAGTGATGGATAAAATCAAAGATAAAACTTCTTCATTGAATAAGATAGAAAAATATTTTTAAAGTAATAATTCAAAGAAGAAGAAGAAAATAATCAACATAATTTATATAACACGCATATTTTTACAAGACTCACTTTCTTTGTGTAAATAAGTAAAGAGACTACAAAATAGCTTCAGGCTTACGGATTTTCCTCTTTTTCCGCGAAAAAGGAAAAACATAAACCATCTTCGTTGGACGTAAGCAACATAATCGTATCGGAAGCGCACGAGAAAGATATTTGTATCCACGCGTGTTTGATTACACGCGCGATGATTCGAGGATGTGAGTCTGTAGGAGAGCCGGAGCGAGGATCATCGGTGAAGAATTCCAGCAGGAATGCCCTCGGGCAGGCACCTGTAACCATGGCTCGACGGGAGAAACAGAACAGGTTGAGACGTGGGCGTGGGTGGAGCGCTTGATCTTTCTCTCCCACGATCTGCCCATATAGTGACGCTGCACCACGCTAGCGATGGGCACGTTCAGCGCGCGAGTTTCTACATGCTCTAAAAGACACATTATGTAGTTTTCGTGTAATCACTTTTCTAAAAATGTGCCTTTCTTATAACATTTTTTAGATATATAACAGACACGTTGCCGAGAAACAAAAAAACAAATTTCAAAGAAAATGTCTTTATTTTAAATTTTTTATACATTTTTTGCATATTTAATTAGTTTATTGTTCCAAAATTGTAACCGAAATAGCTACATATTTTCAAACGCATAGTAACACACTGCGATTTATTTACATATTAATATATAACACAGCTTATATATTAAACACAATTTTAATAAAAAAGATAAATATAATAAATATAAAACATTAAAAAAAAAAGAAAAAAATTCTAAAAATAGAATAACTGAGATATATTAATTTAAAAAAAAGTATAGTGCGAGGAGAGAAATCTAGCAAGAATGTCAAGTACAGAAGGCGTGATTATGCCTTGAAGGCCTTAATGATGCCTTCT